CAAATATTACCAACATGTGAACATTCCCACTCGGGGCAAGAACACTCTGGATCATGTTTACAGTAACATACGTGGTGCATACAGGGCTGCACCTCGCCCCCACCTTGGACGTTCGGACCACATTTCTTTGTTCCTGTATCCAGCTTACAGACAAAGTGTCAGGGAGGTGAGTGACGCTCCCGTGAAGATAGAGTGAACCCAATTAAAAAGCCAGTCGGCTGAGGCAGTAGCACAGACTTTAATGTCCTTTTGTGATTCTAGCAGAGAAACACACAGTCTAGGGGGGATCAGGCAGAAGAGTGGTACGCAATACAGTCCAAGGTCAATGTCTCCGGCAAGGCAGCAGGGAAGGCAAGGCAGAAGCGCAGGTTGGTTGAACAGGCAGGGTGTCGATCTCAGGTTGGCAGTCGAAGTGTGAGGAGCTGCTATATGCTGCGGTGAACAGGTGTGGGTGATTAGTGGCAGGTGAAACCAATGTGCATAATGAGCTGATGTTACCGGGGTTGTGGATGAACTGGCGACAGGAAGCACTTCCAGAGTAAAAGCAGGGAGCATCGGAAGCCAGCGGGGCAGGATCATGACACAAAGACTGAGACAAACAAACCCTAGTCTAGCCTCGCATGTTCTGGCTTACGATATGTTAACACGTAGCCTTATCTGGGTCAAACATGGCTGATTCTAGGCTGCAGCCACCTCAGAGGACTTTTCTGTCAGCGTACAGGATTATGCTGAGTATGTGACCGGATACATTAGCACTTGTATTGACAACATTGTGCCCACCATACAAGTCAGGAGGTTCCCCAACCAGAAGCCCTGGATAAACAGTCAGGTACGCCACATGCTGCATGCTCGCTCTCATGCATTCAGATCAGGTGATGAGACGGAGTACAAAGCTGCAAAGTACAGACTGAGACCACCCAGCCCCCCAACTCCTCTCCACTAACTGTCTCACCAGGCCAGGTACGGACAGTCCTGAGGAAGATCAACCCCCGCAAAGCGGCAGGACAACATCCCTGGGAGGGCTCTCAAGGCATGTGCTAGCAAGCTGGCTGATGTTCTCACCACCATCTTCAACCTCTCCCTCAGCCAGAGCATCGTCCCCACCTGCTTTAAGACCACAACCATCCTCCCCCTTCCCAAGAAGAGCCTGGTCACCTGCCTGAATGACTATAGGCCAGTGGCACTCACCACAATTATTATCAAGTGTTTTGAGGGAGTGGTGCTGGCCCGCATTCAGAGTAGTATACCGGACACGCTGGACCCACTGCAGTATGCCTACTGGGCCAACAGGGCCACCTCAGGCACCATTGCGGCTGGCCCCCACTATTCTCTTTCTCACCTGGAAAATGGAGACTCCTACATCAGGATATTCTTCATTGACTACAGCTCCATCTTCAACACAGTTGTCACCCAAAAACTCACCCACAAACTGTCCACACTAGGTCTGCACCCCACCCTCTGTGACTGGCTCCTGGACTTTCTGACTGGCAGGCCCCAGACTGT